AGGGCGGGGCTCCTCCCGTCCTCTTTTTTTCTTGCTGAAATATGGTCACCCTAGGTTAAAGCTGAGTTAAACTCACCAACCAGTCACAAACTGTGCTTCTGATCCCCCACATTGGTTATCAAGAAGCTGAAAAAAGAAATCACACAGACCCCTTTATTGCATTCCTGTTCTCTGGCTCCCAATCAGCAGATAAGTCCCATACAGTAAGAAATTATTTGAAACTCTGCTCACTATACAAAATGTTCTTCTGACCCCAAGGGACCAGCCACATTGCCAGATCAATATTAGTTTGACTCTTACCCAAAAATATTATGCTGCCAGTAGGGTTGCCAACCCTCCAGGATTGGCCTGGAGTCTCCCAGAATTGGCATCGGTCTCCCGGTGACTATTGAAAGCAATCTGGGAGATTTTAATAGGATATTTTAAGAAAATGATATTGCGATGTTCGGGGGGGGGGGGGGATCTCCTGGAATAGCTTCAAACAAAGTTGGCAACCCTAGCTGCCAGCCAGTCCTTTAGTATCTAAAACTAAAGGTTTATTATAAAAGAAGAAAAGAACAAGAAGAGGGCTGTTGAATGGTCAAGCAATCAAATACATATATAAGACTTCAGAGTCCATATATTAGGCTTGTAGCAATATTGGTGAGTTTGCTGGCTTGAAAGTCCCTCTGGAACACATCCAAAGCTCGGATGGTTCATTCAGTCCTTTGTTCAAATCTTCAGTTTGTAGAGAAGTTGCTGCAGAGGTAAGAAGTAGGATTGAAGACAAAATGGAGATGATGCCTCTGCCTTTTTATATCCTTTGCATGTGGCCTGTACTTCCTTTGTCCCAAACACAAGCTTTACAGCACATGCCATGGAAAAATCTTAGAGTTCTCTGTCCACAGGCATGCCCCTACATGTCTTGCTGACTTTCATAAGGTGTAGCTGTTGCCTTTCAATGGGTTAATTGTATAGCTGATTGCCTTGGAGAGGCCAACAAGCAGGCTGGTTAGTGCTGATGCCAGTCTGTCTGGGGGTGTCACCCAGAAGTACAGCACAAGTTTGAAATACAGATATATCAACACATATTTGTAATTCATGATACAAAGATGATACAAACATATAAACAAGATTATTGTACTTGTGAAAACATAACATTTTCACTGATTCCTTGCACAACATATCTGGTAAGATTCCTTGCAATTTTATAATATTGGTAATAATATTAAGTGTCTCACATAATCCATACAGTGTCACATTAGCATTGAGTTCAACAGTTCTATTTGAAAATTGAGTAATTAGATGGCATTTGAGTGTTTTGATGTAATGTTAATTCAGTCTAGTTTGAAGAGCAGCAGCAACTACTGAACTTTGCTCTTAGATAAGAATCATGGTATACGACTGACTTTTCTTTTTTGAATTTTAAGTTGATGGTGTCTGTTTTAATTTTAGCTATTTTCAGAACCCCACATGTCTTGTCCCTCCAATTTTTGTTTCTCCAAAGACCTGCCCTTGCTGAATTACTATGTCATAAAGAGGGGGCACAGAGTGCCTAATGTCAACAGAGTAGGTAGAGGTAGATGTTTTCTGTAACAGCAGTAGCTCCCTCCAATTAAGTTTTGTTCTGTAAAGTTTCCTTTTATGATGTATTAGGAGCATTTAGCCACAGTGTACCATTTGGATTTCTCTTGACAAAGCTTTTTAAAAAATCTTTGTTATTAAAAACAAAATACAATACATTATTAAATGTGCACAAAGTTGTGAACTTCCTCACTTTTCAGAATAAAATAATTAACATAAGTGGGGAAGTTTAATTCTATTCCTGACATCGCTGTGGTATTCCATACAGAATAGTTTACCCTCTAAGTATCTCATACAGCCTTAGCTTTTGGCACGTGGGTTAAGCTTTCTGCTCTTGATTTATATCAAAGTGTGTTAATTCTGACTTTAAGGAAGTCGTGGACTTTGTACTTTTATGCATATGTTGAGTCTGGAAATCTGAGAGTTGAGAGATGTGGAGGGGTTGGTTTTGTTAATGCATCCCATTAGGATTTCCTAGATACACCTCTACCCCGATATAATGTGACCCAATATAACATGAATTCAGATATAACGCCATAAAGTGGTGCTCCGGGGGTGCGGGGCTGCGCACTCCGGTGGATCAAAGCAAGTTCAATGTAACGCTGTTTCACCTATAACGCAGTAAGATTTTTTGGCTCCCAAGGACAGCGTTATATCGGGGTACAGGTGTATTTAGATATAACCAATATTTCTGTTTTATCTCATACTGCAGCTTACTCCATCTGGAAGCATCTCTCTGATGAAATCAATGAAGGTGATCAGAAATCCTGTGAGAACATGTGACAAGGTTTATTCCTTGATCCAGAGTTTGACTTCTCAAATCAGGCAGCGAATGGAAGATCCCAAGTCCGCGGGTAACTGAAATATTTTAAAATGTGTGTTTAATTTGACTTCTGTCCATTTGAGACCACTAACTTTAATGGATATGCAGAAGGCAGGCACCCTTTCCTCATTAGCTTCACTGTCTCACAGATTTTTGCTAATGATACATTCATACTGCTGAGCTTCAGTTCATCTGCAAATTTGACACCATCAGCTCAGGATTAAACAAAGACTGTGAATGGCTAGCCAACTACAAAAGCAGTTTCTCCTCCCTTGGTGTTCACACCTCAACTGCTAGAAGAGGGCCTCATCCCCCCCCCCCCCCTTGATTGAACTAACCTCATTATCTCTAGCCTGACTCACTCTTGCTTGCATATTTATACCTGCCTCTGGAAATTTCCACTGCATGCATCCGAAGAAGTGAGTATTCACCCACGAAAGCTCATGCTCCAATACGTCTGTTAGTCTATAAGGTGCCACAGGACTCATTGCTGCTTTTACAGATCCAGACTAACACGGCTATCCCTTTGATACTCAAATATCCTGCAAAACCATAAGTTTACAAAGAGGGTAGGCTGCTCTAAATGTAATTTAAGTGAAGATTTCCTTTGAATGTTAGTATCTTCATTAAAGCTTTTGTTTGCCCTACACTAAAAAAGGGCCATGATGAATAGAAATGTTCTATAAATTGTGTAGTATTAAAACAACTTCATTTTTTTAAATTGCATTTTATCTCTGTAGGACTTGTACTGATAACTAGAATTGATGTTCTACCATTATTGATCCTTTTCCCCATCCAAACCTCTTGTCTGCAATTTGGGGCATCTGCCCTGGCTCCTGTCAGTCTCCTGGATCCCCATGTTCCTGTCTTCTGCACTTGGGATGTGTAAAGGAGTGGATGGGAAATAGGGGACACATCCCCAGAAAAAAATATTTTAATCTAAAATTTTAAAGAAGTCCCTGAGTACTTCTTAAAACCACACTGTATATGATTTATCATGCTGCAATTCTGCCTGAAGACCTAACGATGTACTTGGAAAAGGGAGCTGGGGCTAGAGCAGACATGCTGCTGTCTTAGTTACCATGTAATAGTTCCATGCTAGTAGCAATGAAAACTGAGAGTTCAAAACTACCCATACACATAACTATTCCCCCTTTTTCGAGCCCTTCAGATAATGATTTCAAGTATCTTTGTAGTACACCTCTACCCCGATACAACGCTGTCCTCGGGAGCCAAAAAATCTTACCGTGTTATATCGAACTTGCTTTGATCCGCCGGAGCATGCAGTGTCCCGTCTTGTCCCCCGTACCCCCCAGAGTGCTGCTTTACAGTATTGTATCCGAATTCGTGTTATATCAGGTCGCATTATATCGGGGTAGAGGTGTAGTAGTCACAGCCCTCTGACCACTTTGCCTCAATGCATTTGTTATCTGGAGTGAGTTAACGTTGTTTTACCCTTAAAACACATTTTACCCTTAAAACACATTTTAAGACTATATTTTCAGTAATACATTTAAATCAGTTTAACTTTTCTATTGGCTGATCAATCCTAAATAGTGAAATAAGAGTAAAATATTTTTCTGTCTAGATATTCAACTTTACCATAGTGAAACACTAGAGTTAATGCTGCGCAGGTGGGCCAAGCTGGAAAAGGACTTTAAAACAAAGAATGGAAGATATGACATCAGCAAAATCCCTGATATTTACGACTGTATAAAATATGATGTCCAACATAATGGATCCTTAAAATTAGAAAACACAATGGAATTATACAGGCTATCAAAGGCATTAGCTGACATTGTGATCCCTCAGGTAAGCACTTTACAACATTAATATGGCACCTTTAAAATAAAAATCTGTAAAAAATGCTTGCTGTCTCCTGTTTTTGAAAGGCTTCTGTATTTTGCAGTGACTAAAGGCTCCAAGATGACCTTCTGTTTACTGAAGAGATTGAATGTCAATGATAGAGTACAGATTAACTGGCCTCACAATAAATTAGTAGTTCATAGTCCATCAAATCTATTAAATGTAGAGTGAATTTTCCAGTATCTTGCATAAATGTGACTAGGTCTTAGTTCCCATTAGCCCAATGTGCTAAAACTAAGTGCCCCATAACGACTATTCTTTGCAGATTAAGGAGGGCAGTATAATTGGAGTAATCAAAGATGTCCCTATCTGAAGTTGGATTTTTTTGTCAGCCCTTTTGCTTCCTTCTCAGGCTGATTATAAGGGGCACAGTTAGTTTCAGTTAAGTGATAATAGGCAAACTGGTAAAGAATTTAAACCAAAATGGAGCTTTCTACTGCTCAAATGCATTTTGGTTTTGGTTTTAAATATTATGCTAGCAGTTAAATACAAATACCATCTTCCTTCTGTTATTTCTAACAAGACAGATGCTCAACAGGCAAAAAAATACAATTTGGTTAATATCTATAAAATTATATCTTAGTCATCCATATTGCTGAACAAAATAGTATCTACTAACGAATGGCATTCAACAGGGAACCAGGAAGGTAGGAAATAGTTATCTCACTGTTAGTGTGGGAGCAAACTGTCTCCTATCAGTAAAGGAAACAAAACTTAAAAAAGCAGAGTTCCTGGCAAAAACACATAGAGCAAGATTATGGAAACGAATGCACATTAGTAGTGTCTTCGCCACATGGTTCTAGATCTGTCTGCTTCACATTTCCTTTTTTTCCCCTTAATCTACTGTCTGCAGTACAATTTCAAAACCAAATAGTCATATACATTACATGGAATTTCACTGGATGTAGATGGACACATAGATACCGTTGTCAGTCAAATCTAAACTGCGTTCAGTATTGTGCTGAGTAGACTAAGGGAAAAAAACCCTAAATATAACCTTCAATGTTAATGTCTCTCATTGGCATATAATTAGAATTTTTTCTCTGTGAATCAGGCTAATTCATTCACTCTAGTAATGGATTTGCCTTCATTTTTTTGCTTAATATATGTAGCATCATTTCTGATAAAATGTCTGCTCTGCAAGGTCTGATTTCCAATTCTGTCTACTAGTTCTTTGCCTAGATGAGAAAAAACTTTTTTTCATGAAGAGAACTAACTCTCTAATTGAAATGCCACTGTATAATACCTTTAAAACTCTTGGCTGTTGGGAGTTGCCCATGGGGATCAGATCTCATATTGTGACATGGAACATTGAGAGCCTGAGAAGATACAAATAAACATATAACTGGAATACAAATATTGTACCTTATGCACATCTGTAACCTTCATAGCTTGTACTTATTGGCAATATTTTTGTACAAGTTTGTCAGCTCTTGAAAGACTGGGCTGAATTCTCATATTAAGGTGTTGGGTGCCATTGGACAAATTAAGATTGTTTTGAAAGTGGAGTGTGCTGTCCTGCACTACAGAAATGTTGAACTGTTGAAGGCTAGAAGTCCATGTGCAGTTTTTTTGTACAAATAGCTGGATATTGGATAAAGAAGTCATTTTGCTCATTCAGCAACCTGATTTGCTTGTGTTGGTTCTTTGTGTTAATGGTGAAAATGAATACTTGGTTTACTAAGCCTATTTATAGTCTGTATAGGAATATTTGACACAGATAAGATGTTCTTAAATTCAGAATGTATTTACCAATAGAATTTTTTTCTGTTTTATGAAAAAAAATATTTAAAAATTGAATCACTCACTGAAATAGGATGGTGCATAGAGAGGAATGCAAGTGGATTGGTTTTATTTAATTGATTGTAACAACTGAAACTGAGGCAAATTCCCATTACTATTCAATATATTTTTACATCAAGAAAATTCGGTGGAAATTAAACTACATTTCAGGCTTTGTATTTAGTGGTCTTAAAGGTGATCTACAAATAGAAGAGAGGACTCCATTTACATTTGTAGTATGCTGAGTACTCAACATGGCAAAGGTGGGAGGGAAGTCCTGCATAGTATGGACTTCAAATTGCTTGTCATTTAGGTCACCCGAAGTCCAGAATCAGTCAGGCTGGGTATAACACAATTACCCTTGGTATGCTGGTCGTGTTACTGATTACAGAATATCACTGTTGGGGTAGGAAGGGAAGTAGAGTACCACTGGACCTGTCCTAATGCCAGTGTAGGGAGGGAGTGAAAGAAAGACAGGCTCATCAGGTAAATGCCATATTATAGGGATTTGCAAAGTTTTCTTTAAATAGGTTATTTGGAGCAATGGGAAAACAGTACATATAAAATAAGAATACTCCCTTAAAAAAAAAGTTGACAAACCAACATAACATACAAAGAAAAAGGCCCTTACCTTGGTTTCCACAGTAACCAGAAGTTCTGTTATGGTGTTGGGGGACATCACCAGCAGTGTATGATTGTCAGTTTCATTGAGCAGGGGACTCCTGAAAGAGAATTTTAAAGTGAATATTCTAAGTGCCCAAAATGACCAACAAGAGTATCATTCTGATGTTAATGGAGATTTCTTACTGTTGTTTTCAGATTATATTTGACTGCCATACTTCCTTCAGAAGAAGGGCAGTACCTTTCTTGCAACTGTTGGAGGTCAAATGAAAAAATAAAATGCCTCCTCCTTTCAGTTAGACCATAAAAGAGAACCTTCTTTCAAAAATCAGATTCATTCTGGTATGAAGGAGCTTGGTACTTTTTTGCTGCCACCAAAGGAAACATTCTTTCCATTCATAGTTCATACATTTCCAGTGCAATTTCTTTGTCCATGTTCCAACACTGAAAATCCATGTTTTTCAGCCACAAGAAGTGGTAGATAGGTAGCTACTGTTTTTCAGTTATGAGTCTTAAATTCAAAATTCACTTCAGTGTTCTTTATAGTTTGGTTTCAAAAACTTAATTTCTTTCTCTCCAGGAATATGGTATTTCCAAGGTTGAGAAACTAGAGATTGCCAAAGGCTACTGCACTCCTCTAGTTAGGAAAATTCGTTCTGACCTTCAGAGGACTCAGGATGATGACACTGTAAACAAGCTTCACCCTCTGTAAGTTCAGAATTTTTTATTACATGTATGCTGCAAATTGTCTTCAGTACTTAAATGTTCCCGCAACCGTGATAGATAACCACGTGCTTATAAGCTTAAGCTATCAGTAAAGCTATGCTTACTTCAAACGATTTATAGTAAGATTGTAGTAACAGTTTTCTAATATGGGTATATTTTAATGTCTTAAATAATTGACTACATCTTTTTTTCCACTATACTTTTGATTTTAGATACTCCAGAGGTGTTATGTCTCCTGAACGTCATGTTCGTACTCGGTTATATTTCACAAGTGAGAGTCATGTCCACTCCTTATTATCAACTCTTCGTTATGGTGCCTTATGTGATGTAAGTTGATCATTTTCCTGTTAGAGCAAAAGCCGTGGCTGGTATTTTCTGAAGAACCTATGGGACCAAATCCCCCTAACCTTAAATAGAAGTTGAGTGCCTAACTCCCTTAGGCTACCTTGAAAATCACAACCTATTTTATTAAACATATTGATTTCTAATATGTTTAGTGTTATGCACCCAAGTCATATTGCCAGTCTTTGCCATATAGATTTTTTTGTTAGCAGAAAACAAGATGGAAAACATTTAGTGTTACCTTGGTTTTTTGATGGAAGTTAGTAAATATTAGTGTATTTGCTAACATTTGAGCTCTAAATTCCTCATGCTCAGAAAAGACTAGACCTCTTCCATACATATATTCAGATCAGGCAGTAATGCAAAATACCTTGTAAGAATTTTTTTGCTTTCTTGTAAGTAGGTTAAAATTCTTCTTTGGGAAGCTGAGCAGTACTGTCCATCTTCAAAATTGTTTACAATTGGTCCTTAACACTAACTTGGTGGTGTCTAATATACAACACATGAATATATTTCACTTAGCTTAAACAGCCTTCACTTGGTAACTGCCTACTCAGAAATCAAGCAGAACACTTTCCAAAGTTCTGTTCCTGGAACTTAAGAAGAACAATTTCTCCTCCCAGGTTATTGGTAAGATAGGCAGGAAAATTAATTTTTCACACTTAGTGTCAAATTCTCACATCTGCACCACAAATCATAAAACTAATGTACACTTTTTTTTTTAAAGAGTAACATGGTGTTTGTCATATCTGGCAACAGCATCTTATTTATGCAGCATTATAGCAGCATTTGGAATTTTACAAGCAGTTAAATATTTTTTCTTGCGGACACAAATCCTGAAGAGCATAAAACCTAACTCAAAAGGATCTGGTACCAAGAGAATGATTGCTGAGTAAGAGTTGGATCCTGCACTAATATGAGTCTGGGTGGTAAGAATAGTGCTCATGTGGTGATAGAGGTAGAGAAAAGAGATTAGGAGGAAACACAAATTCTTCTTTGAGAAGATGCAGCCATATATTCTACATAGGTGTGTGCGCGCCCAGTGCACGGGAGCAGTATAATTTTGCCTAACAGTACCTGTAGATGGGCAGTGCTCATGCCTCGTAGCTATAGCCCTGGCTATATGAGGTGGTGCCGCCCTGACCCCCCCTCAGTCCTTTCCTACCATCCAAGGCTGGAGCTGGAGCTCTGTGTGGCTCCTAACCTCATAACCTCTCTATTTTGTAGTGAATTTTTCTAGTTTGTATATAGTTAACTAGTTCCCTTAGTATAGTATTAATTAGCTTTAGTTTAAATATTTCACTGATGATGCCCTCACCATAGTTTAAACATTGTCATGTTGAGGAATGATCCCCATACACGGTGCTTGCTGTGCTGAGGCAAAGCCCATGTCAAGGAGTGGTGTTCAATTTGCAAATTGTCATGAAACAGACTCAGGTGGCGAGAGATCTTTGTCTAAAGCAGCACTTGCTTGAACAGGTCACGTGGCCTGCTTCAGCACCAAGGCCTACATTGGATCGGATGGCACCCTTGGGTTCTGAGAGTGCTGCTACTTCGCGTTCTGGAGCTGGCACCTCTCCGAAGAGACAGAGGAGTCACTCCTCCTCAACTGCGCTGAGAAAAAGATCACATAAGACCATCAAGGTCGCTCCAAGTTGTGTGGGAACTCATCTGTCTCTTTCAGAAGGAGTGCAGACTGGTATGATGTGAATGCTAGCGCGTGGGATGGAGGAGGTCCCGTCAACCACTTTCTAGTACTGCACAAGGAAGTGACACACCCCATACTGTTGACCCCAGTTCGGACATGGGGTGTTTGTTGAGTCCGGTACCAATGAGGGCGATGCCAGCACTGGCTGTTTCTGCATCAGCAACGTATCAGGCAACCACGGATCTCCTCTTCCTTTTTGTCCCAACCTTGCCTTTGGTCCAAGACTTCGCCATGGCTGTGTCATTTATAGCCTCGTTGGCTAAGCGAGCTGCTGAATCTGTGGGTCTGTCGGCACTGCACCCTGATGTTTCTCTTCCACAGTCAGTGGAAGCAGGGCCAATGCCAGGCTCAGCACAAGGGACCTCCTCAGCACTGGGAATGTCTTCAGCACCCCTGCTGGTGGTTCAGTTGATGTTACTGTGGCTCCACTCACTGCCCTCCACTTTGCCACCATCAGTCACGTTGGCGCTGCTGCCAACTTCGGGGTTAACACCACTTCCAGCACCGGAAACAACAGAGGTGTACTCAGTGCCAGTGATAGCATTTCCACTGTTGGCGCCAGTTCCCTCTTCATTCTGGTGTATGGACGAGTCCGGCCAGTTGCTCACACTTTCAGGCTGGCTCTACCTTTCTCCACTGAAGCCTGGGATTCCTCAACTTCCAGGTCAGGATCATTCTCCTCCCATTTTCCATCGCCTGATCTGCACTGGGGGCCGTTCATAGAGCACTGTGGGTACCAAGATTGGTGCTCATCTTGTGGGCGGGACTATGGGTTCTTTACTTCAAATGCGCCTGTGCCTTTGATCAGAGATTTTTGGTAGTGGTGCCCATTTATTCCTTTTGCCCTGCACCGAGATTACATGGGGCTGTGCGGGCAAACAGCCCTCAATTCCTTCTCAACCAACTGCCTTTGGCCTGAGACAGATTCTGCAACTTTTGCCTCTTCTCTGTTCAGCATTTGGATAGATAGTTAATAGTTACTTACCTTTTAGTGTTTCCTTTTCTCTCTCCCTCTCCCTCTCCCTCCCCCTCCCTTAAATTTTATTTTTAAATCTTTTTATTCTTAGTTTAGAACTTTCTGTTCTTGCGGGTTATCCGGGGAGGGGGGAGGGTTGGTCATTTTTCCTTGGCAATGCTGAGTTCCCTGGGATTCAAGAGGGGCGTCTCCTGCCATGAGTCTATTCTAATCAGTGATGGCCATCCCCAGTGCCTCTGCTGTTTGGGTGATACCCATATGCCTAGTAAGTGCAAGAGCTGCACATCCTTCAAAAGTAGATCCTGAAAAAAATAGGGAGATCAAGTTTCAACTTCTAACGATGGAGCAAGCCTTACATTCAGCTTCAGATCCAAGGGTTAGAGGACTCCCCTGTACATAGATCTCCCAGTACCAATAGTGCCCCTTCCATGCCAAGACCTCAGTCAACAAAGACCACTAGAAAGGTAGGCAGTATTGCAGCATCAAATACTTCTACAGTACCAAAGTCCTCATCTGCCGCTAAACAGAAGGAGGTAGGGAGTAAATCTTCAAGAGAATTTCAGTCACCGAAGCACAGGAGAGCTACAGAGACCTCTGCTTCCCAGGGGAGTTCCATGCAGGTTTAGAGTGATGCTGGTACGAAAAGCAACGAAGAAAATTCAGTCTAAGACAGACTTAGTATCGAGTTTGGGTACCTGGATCCTGGCTGGCAGAGACATAGGTGAAAAGAGTTAAGCCTGTCCCAGACCAAAACTCAGTATCAATATCAAGGAAGTCAACTGTACCAAAGACTGCCAAACCTCATATGGTACCAAGGGAATTGAAACCGACACAGTCCCAGGCCAGGCTCTCAGTGCCAATTACGTTGGTACAGAAACCATACACTACAGGCTCTCTCACAGGCCAATGTTTACTGTTAGTAACGCAAGAGTTCAGGACATGATAGTCTCTTCAGAGCCAGAGTCTCCCCTATTAATGAGTGCTGGGGTTTGTCAGCATCAAGATCCATTCGGTCACCACCCCCTCTATCACATAGGGAACCATGCTCGCCCTTGTCATCTTTGCAAGCTGAACAACTTCCCACCATACTCCAGAGTATGTGGAATAGGATGCTTCAGATTCTCAGCTCTCTGGGCAGTCTTCCACTATCTGTTCTAGAACACATCACTATCCCTCCTGCCCTGATGTTTTACAAGTGCATAGACCTCTAATGACACCCTCCTGGCAGAAACACAGATGCCTCCACCTATGCCTTTTGTCCCCCCTCAGTGGCCTTTCTGGGATCCGTGGATGTTCTATCACCAGAAATTTTTGATGAGGTCTTCACCCCACCAGAGGGAACAGAGAAGGACCCATTCTCCTTAACCCTCTTTACTACCACCCATGCAAGAGGAAGAGACGTTTGAGGAACAAGGGCAGACAAGGAGGTGACACCTCTTATGAATGTTTCCTCTTCATCACCGGATGAAGTTGTCATGCCTCCACCACCTTCTGTGGAAGATGACTTCAGACCATTTCAGGAATTGATGACACGAGTTGCTGACATACTTCAGATTCCCTTAGAGCAGTGGTTCTCAACCAAGCAGGTTTCAGAGGGTCTGCCAATCAGGGTTGGCACTAGACTTGCTAGGGCCCAGGGCAGAAAGCCAAAGCTGGAGCCCTGCCATGGTGGGTCTGAAGCCTGAGCAGCTTAGCTTCATGGAGCCCCCTGTAGCATGGAGCCATGAGCAGTTGCCCTGGTTACTACCCCCTAACTCTGGCCCTGGCTTTTATAGTTAGAAAAACAGTTGTTCCACATGTGGGCTGTGGAGTTTTTAAGCATATTAGGTGGGCCTCAGAAAGAAAAAGATTGAGAACCCCTACCTTAGCAGAGTTTCAGGAGTCCACCATAAGCTCCTAGATATCTTACACACCTTGTCATCGATGAGAATTGCTATTCAAGTGCATGAGGCTCTTAGGGAGCCTACTAAGACTGTTTGGCAAACCCCAGCTACAACACTGCCTACCTACAACAGAATTGATAAAAACTATTATGTTCCTGATGGAGAATCAGAGTTTCTATTCTCTCACCCAGCTCTGAACTCCTTAGTAGTAGATGTCGTTAATGAACGAGGTAGGCAACATAGCTCAAGTCCACCCCATACAGTAAGGACCATAAGAGGCTCGAACTTTCTGGCTGCAAATCCCATCAGCTATAACTACATTTTCTCAGCCATCCATGTCCTCCAAGTGACAATTTTGATGATTTGGTCAAGAGTCTGAACCATCCCCAGTCAAAGGGACTTTACAGCTGAAACCTCC